TGGGGCGGGGGGGGGGTTCTCCCCCGAGGTCAGAAGTTGAAGAAACCTCTGTTTGTCTTGCGGGTCTTTTTATTGCGGGAGATGCGCTGGAGCAAGGACGGGGTCAATAAAAGGAATCCGGTTCCGGGGTCGAGTCGCTCTCTCTTCTTTTTGCGTTTTGGATTTATAATTCGCTTGAAAGCAACAGCAAGAAACAAATCTGTTTGGATTTCCACTCAGAAGTAGGGTTACAAATTGGGGCTAATGTTTCAAACTCGGGCGAGGGTTTCAAATTATGATCGGGGTAACAATATTTTCATTCAAACTAGAGTTGGGGATTCAAATTAAGGTTAGGGCTTGGAAATAGCATTTCAAACTAGGGTTAGGGTAGCAAAGTAGGTTTCAAACTAGGTTTAGGGCTTGGAACTAGGTTTAGGGGTTCAAATTAAGTTTGAAAACTAGGCTAAGGGTTTCCACCAGGGTTAGGGTTTCAAATTACGGTTTAAAACTATGGTTAGGGTTTCAAAGAAGGGTTTAAAACTAGGCTTACGGTTTTGAACAAAGGTTAGGGTTTCAAACTAGGATTGGGGTTTCAAATTGGGGTTTCAATTTAGGGTTAATGTTTGAAACAAAAATTTGTTTCAAACTAGGGTTAGGATTTCAAATTCAGGTTAGGGTTAGGAAGTTGGGTTTTAACTAGGGTTCGCATTGGGAAGTAGAGCTTCAAACTAGTGTTTAAAGCTAGGGTAAGGGTTTAAAACTAAGGTTAGGTTTTCAAATGAGGTTTCAAACTCGGGTTAGGGTTCAGAAGTAGGGTTTAAAAATTTGACTGAGGCTTTCATATTAAGGTTAGAGTCTGGAAATAGGGCTTTAAACTAGGCTTAGGGTTTCATGGTAGGGTTTTAAAATTACAGTTAGTATTTGGAAGTAGGGTTTCAAACTAGGATTAGAGTTTTAAAGTAAGGAAAGAGTTTGAAATGAGGGTTAAGGTTTCGAATTAGGGTTAGGGTGTCAAACTGGTTTTCAACCAAGGTTTCAATGTTTTTCAAAATATTTATTTTTGTCGACTGTTTTGTTTTGAGTGTGATATTTTTCCATCAAATGTGAAGGTTGAATTATTTGCTCGTTTATAGTGAAACGTGAAAATGTCACATTTGTTGCGGATAAAACATTTGAAGGGGAACATTGGCAGATAGGAATGGCGGCATCGTGACGGTCGTCCTCCTTAACGTGCGAACTCTTCGCATCCGCGATCTTCCTTGACAGAGTGCTGACGTCATTCAAGGCCGTCGGAGCAAAGGCGCTCTTTGGGGCGCAGAGCGCGGAACGTAACGCGATGAGCATTTTGGCGGATGCGCCCCCGTCTTGAGGTCGTCACCCCGCCGATAGCCGATGAATATTCATGAGCCGCCGCCAAGTTGCCGTGCCGTCTGACTCGACGCACACGCCCTCTCGGAGTCCCGCTTCGAATGACGTCATCATTCCGCGCCACGCCGTAGGCCTCCCAGCACTTGAAGGTGCTGCTTTTTCTGCTCTTTTGACACGAGTCTCCGTCTCTTCCCCCTTCCCCGCACGAAAAAAAAGGCCTGAACGCACGCCAACAATCATTTCGTTCCGCGTGTGATTTGACAAGCACACCGACCGACTTGTAATGACGCCGCACACCTGTAGAGGGAGCCGTGTTCTTCGGCAATCCACGGCCATGATTTCTGAAGGGGCGATTCTCGAGTGCCTTTGGGGAAGCACTTGAAATGTGTTTGGATAAAACGTCCTCCATTGCACTTAACAGCCATTTCCCGTCGGCTCTTCTGCGCGAGCCAAACAATTAGCGCGATGATTAAAGGCCTCGGCGTGTACTACCAACTGAGGATGAGGATGAGAAAGAGGACGATCGTGCTTTTGTCGTGTGGGCTGGGCTTACGGTTCTTTTTAGAGTTTCCCCCCCCTCGAGTTTGAGAACTCCTGTCAAAACATTTGCACTAGCTTCCCCTAAAGAAGCCAAAGTGGCAAAACATGAGGGGACGTTCTTTCGAGACCGAACCTTAACCGCCACAACTATCCCTTCAAAACAGGTCGTAATTCTGAACAAAAACGGGTGGACCTCTGGGATCGAACCCATGCCCACTTGCAATCAGATCATCATCGGGGGGTTGAGATGATGTGAGGTTCTCCAGAAGCTTCTCACATCAAAAAGACAAGTGCAAACAACTCGGAAGGTACAAACGATTGCAGAGGAGTGGCAGAAATGTTGATTTTTATTGTGCTCTTTTTAATCGTTTGACAAGAAAAAGAAAATAGAGAGCGTCCGACAGACTTGCGTCACGTTGCCGAGGATTTCCCGGCGCGTCCGCCGTCAAGAACGGATCCGCCGCGTTCCGCTTTCAAGGCATCCCCGTTTGCCAAAGGGACAGTCGCTCATGACCTCCAAGAAAATAAGAGTCCTCAAAAAAAAAAAAGTCGGCGCTGATACGACATGGCTACCACGACGACGGTGTTGCCGCCCTTTGGAAACAGTCAACACGGAGAAGACAGCAAGTTAAGTTTGGAAAGCAAAAGATGAAAAGGGACAAATAAGAAAAGTAAGGCTGCTGTCGAGTTGAAGACACAATCTGGCTGGCACCGCCTTTGACTGCGCTTTGTGATGCAAAAATAATCAAGAAAAGAAAAGAAAATACACTTTGCCTTCCCTTTTGCCATTCAACTCCCCCCCCCCCCCACGTTTTCTCAAGAGTATTTTAACACACATACTCCCCCCCCCCCCAACGTGTTCTCATGAGAATTTTGTAACGCATAGTCCAAATCGTTGAGCGCGCTGCAACGGTAGACCGAAAACTCCTGGGCCTTTCCATTAAAAGATCAAAAACAATCTTTGAACACTACTTTTGGAAATTCTAAAGTCAATTGTGTCAGAATTGGACCAAAAAAAAAAAACGGTGGTGACAAGTGCTCGGAACTCAAACAAGAGCCCCTTGCCAAAACGCAAGAACCTGACCGCCACACCCTTCGTGGAACAAGAAAACCGCACGTCAACCCGAGAACCCTGACCTCAACCCTGAAGAACAACAACCCTAACAAGAACGTCACACCGGCAAGAACCTCAACACAAACCCGACACCCAACCCAATCAATTCAAATCCATCCATAAACGAATGGCCTTACGTTACCTTCACGAGAATCCGAGCCCCCTTTTAAGAGAACTGACGGCCCAACCTGAAGGCCATCCACAATGGAACCGGCCAAAATGACAAAAACCTTTCACATCGAACCCAAACTACCAAGAATTCAAGAAGCACAATCCTGGCAACAAACCTGAGCGAGTGGAAACCGGAACCCGAACTTTGCCCCTGACGGAAGCCTGGAAGCCAAAACAAGAACCCCCAACAAGGCTGAGAAGCTTCTGTAAGGTCGAACCATCAAAACCCCCAAGAGCGAGTCAAACCCCACCGAGTCCCCTGACGCCAAGCCCGACTGGAAAGAACCCCAACGGCATTTACGGTTGCAAGAAAAAGTCGGAATGACCCGGCTTTTGGCATCAATTGGTCCTAAAATGTAAAATAGTCCAAAATTCCTCCCGACCCTTGCGCACGTCTGATCTTCAACGAGAGGAAACGCTCGGTTGAGGTTGTTGGAGGTTCAACCGCTTGCTCATGAATGCGAATGTTTACATCGTGTCCAATGAAAAAAAAACAAAATATTGTTTGTGTGGTATCAATCAGTTCCAGCAGACCGTTTTCGGTGATTTTGGCATTTCAACTTCGGCTTTTTTTTTTTTTCGGGAGGTGGGGGGGCATTTTTGGACGTAGCGGCACATTCTCATGAGAACACGCACATTTGGAGATTTCGGCGCAGACTGAACATTTTATCGCTCCTACCGCAACGTTCACATTCTTATAACACAAGTGTTCTAAATCAAAGGGAGACACCCCCACTACCCCCCCACCTTTTTTTTTCTTCTTCAAAATGTGTCAACCAATGACCATAAATGCTCATGAGGCCCTTTTGTGATCCCAAAATGTGTTTGCAAGAAATACATTCACCTGTGTTTTGCGACTGCGTGCGCCCGCGCGCGTGTTGGCGAGCGTTCGTCATTTCTTTGAGCACAGTACGTTGGTCGTCAGGATGATTGGAGCCTTCTTGTGCAACCTTGTCATTTGGCAAATTGTCAACGTCAGAGTGCGTGCGTGCGTGCGTGCGTGCGTGCGTGCGTGTGTGTGTGTGTGTGTGTGTGTGTGTGTGCGCATGTGTGTGTGTGTGTGTGGC